TTAAACCCTAATCCGATGAAAGGAACTTATTGTTCTGGAAGAGTGTGTACAGTGCATGTGTACACACCACTCACCAACATTGTCTGGCATCTCCTGGGACCATGGAGAGGCTTGTCTACTTTTCCCTATTGATCAGTTTACAGTGGGGCTTAGATTGGCCTTTCAGAATTGGTCACTAAATTTGTGAGCAATGAAATTGGATGTTGGATGGAAAACTTCTTGAAACATCTGCAGGGAAAGAAGATCTCCAACTCTTTTTCAGGGGCCAGACTTCCCATTAACAGCTATGTAGCATTGTTACTGAGTTCCCTTCTATGTCTTCCCTTGGGGTTGAATGGAAATGTGGGAAGTCCACAAGGCTGTAGACCTTTGGAGAAATGTTTGTTCAGTAAAAGTCAGGACATTCACACGTGCCCCTTGGCCACTTCAACACTAAGTTGAAGATCTCCAAAGACCATCCTGAGAAATTCACAAACATTTTTTTCCCATTGAAAGAATCTGGAAATCAGAACTGAATGAAAACTAGTAGGGAGAAAACGCACATGAATTTCTCCATCAGGAAACCCATCTGTTCACCAGAAAATCATGTGGAGAAGAGTTAAATATCTCTCTACCAAAAAGAAAAATCCTCACTGTTAATAACAGATAGTCCACAGATATTGTGATCTGTAGGTGAGTTGTGACCAGTGGCCCCAATGCAGAGCAAGACACTCTTGACTCTTCAAGAATGCCCTCACCTCCCAATCATTGTAAAAATGCAGAAAACTTCTCAGAACGTGAAATATCTGAAATTGATGAATCTTGCAAGAGCATTCTTAAAGGTTTGGAGCCAAGCCATTTCACATAACATGTGGTAACAACAAACCTAGTTTCACTAAGACTGCTATAAATACAACTGAGTTTGAGTCGGCCAGACAGATTGGATTTTACAAGCAAGGTTCTTTGAACAAAGCATGAATTAGTTAAGGGAAGGTTTTCATATTATTATATGCATGTAAGAGAAATAGAATTAGAAAAATAAAATTACTGTCTTTGGGAGAGAGAGTAGGCAAGGGAGGTTGTCTAAATTGAGAACAATACCACAATGAACACAATTTTATTACTACTTCTGGTTCATTTTATTACAACACTGCTTCCAATTGTTTCTTTGTGGCTTAGTTTGCCCTGCATGTTAGTCAAGGCTAAAATGGGCCCAAGTAGTTTATGGTTCAGCATCTTGTGGAAACTGCTTCATTGTCTTATAACATTGTGTGAAATAGCCCCTGTTGTTAAGTTAAAATATAATGTGGTCTCTTAGTTTGTGAACATAACAATTTTGGTTAACCCGTACTTATTTTACTCTGGGCATCCTGCTAAATCATGAAGAAGGTTTTGATTTTGACTTAATGTAGGGTGTGAATCCAGCTGTTGTGTTTTGCGAATGATGGTTTAGGGTTTACTCTCATGATTTCAGCCAGCTCCTCTTTAATCAACTAGTCATAGTTAGTGAGATGTCTGAACCCAGTTACTATGAATTGTCTCACATCTTGTTCCTCATTAAACCTCTGTGACTGTAGAACAGCCTTTCTCATCCTTGCACACTCCTCTCTACGGATATCATGGTCCAGACATGTAAAAATGAGCTAGTGACCAAGTATGTGTCATTTAGGATTAAAATTCACCTAAAAGTCAACTTAAATCCCATTGTTGACAAGCAGAAGTGGCTGATCCTGGGGGAACAGGAAGCAAAGTGCATTTTCAGCATTTCCAGTGCATAGTCCTCCCAGAATCTGCATGTATTAGAAGGGTAATTATGTCTTGAATATAGGGATTGTAAATAAAGAGCATGGTTTAGAGCAGTGTTTCTCAACCTTGGCAACTTTAAGATGCATGGACTTCAACTCCCAGAGTTCCCCAGCCAGCATACTGGGAGTTGAAGTCCACGCATCTTAAAGTTGCCAAGGTTGAGAAACATTGGTTTAGAGTCATGCATACTTGGTACGATTTACCTATAAAATCCTACTTCAATGTTTGGGACACAGGACTCATCCATGGGCTTCTCAGAGGCAATGTTGAGTCTTCTGTTGCAGATCAATGGGTCAGATACCATCCATAAAGCTACTTCTTTTCCTTTCCTTTAAGGTTAAGAGTCCTTTAGTTTTGGAATCTCTTGAACTAGAAGGGTTTTCTTGTGTAGCACGAAGCATTCTGACCTTTCCTCTCTGTTAAATAAGCAGCAGAGTGGGAGAGGCTCTTCATGGGTTGCAACTTCCCCAATCTGAATGTTAATTCTTGATTAGTTAATGTGTCAGGCCAGAACTGGGGAATCCCAGATTCAAATCTGCTCTGTGAGGTTATTCTATAGGTCCCTGGAAGGTGTTTATATTAAGAGATCCCTCTTTCTATGTTCATTGTGTCTCTTTGCAAATAAATGTATCTATTGCTGAAGCACATGAAGTCTTTAGTCACATTTCTCCCTTAAGGGAAGCCTAACCTAGGTCAATGTTATGCCTAGAATTTGAAAATATTTGTTTGAGGGCTTTCTTTTGGCACCAAGAACTTTGCTTGTCGCGTGGGTGAGACATAGAACATGATCTTTCAAATCCTGCCAGAATCCTCACAATCAATCAATTGCCCTACTAGTTTGCTTGCTTCGTTTCTGCCATTACAGTGATGGGGAGGAAGGGAAGGAAGGTTGGGAGGTAAACTGTTAGGCACAGATGGACTATTATCTGGCTCTCAGGAATGCCCAAGGTCGTACCAATGTGAGAACCAGAGGGAATCTTCAACATGCGCAAAAGAGATTAAAAGACAGAAGGGGGGGGGGTTGGAATAGGAATGGGGTAAAACTAAGCTTCGGCGTGTGCGAGACTCAGTTCCAGCAATGCTTTAGAGCTGTACACTACTACTTTCCAATAAATGAACTTTTCTTTGAACCCGCATTGGTTTCAGTGGGAGTTGCTTTCATTGGGAACTGAGTACCGCAGTTCTTACAAATCCAGTGGGAATGTGTAGGCTATGTAAAATATGCAAAAGAGCTGCTCTTGCAGTGGGAGCGAGTGGGAATGAAGCTCCTCTCTTGGAAGATCTAAAGCAGCCATGTGGTTTGCAAGGTTTGCATAGCTGCTCTGAAATGCCCATGTCCATGTGCACGCACAGCAACCCCCCCCCCCCAACCACTGTTTGTGCAGAAGAAGCTGCAGGCAGCCCTACTATATCTGTATGGGGATAGAATATCAATACATAATATCAATCAATGCTTTCATGCATATTTAACAGTCAGCTGTATCTGAGAAGAAGGATCCCAACCCAGCTGGTCATGTATTCCTGAGTGAAGCACATGAGGGAGGACTCAAACAGAAAGGAACAGGTTTGTCCGCAGGGAGGGGGTCAGAAAGGTCAAGATGGTGGCCACAACCATGAGATCAAAGCCCTGCCCTCTTTTTAATGTGCATTGTGACATACATAAAAAGGGGAAGGGCTTCGATCACATGGTTGTGGCCCCCAGATTAACACTGTTGACACAGGGAAGCTAGGAAAAGACTTAATGTAAGTATAAGTAAGTAAGACTTTTGTAAAGTATAGATTTTTTTTTTTAAATAAAGCATTAGCAGCCACCGCAGCAAAATATAATGGTAATTCTTTTCCAGCAGAGATTTGTTGCAGACCACGTGGTTGTATGAAATAGAACTGCAGTCATTTCTTTTCCTCTCCTTTTCTAAAGACATTAAATAACTAGGATAATGGTAACATCTTTTAAGTCTACACAATCACAAAGTTTACATGGCAAGTGAAAAATCTAAAGGATGAATGCAACCAGGAACATAATTGCAAACCCAGAGGTCATCAGAGGAATATACAGGAATATACAGAATATAAAACTGTTTAGCCACAGTTCCCTTATGAGTATGAGTTATATGGCATTCCAGTATAATTCATATTGGAATCCAAACTTATTTAATTTGCATTTTTGAAGTAATGCGCAAAGCAAAAGTTGTAATTTGAAGCATGCAGTTCTCTGGATTTTGTAAAACGGTTCACCAATATGATTTATTTTATTGTTAACGGTTTCAACTTTTCCTGCCCTGTTCTTTTCTAGGAAGCACCCAAGTAGCTAACCCAATTTAAATTCAAAATCCCACTATTAAAAGTTACAACGAAAAATGAAAAATCGCAATAATATAAACACAAAACCCATCTCATCATTAAAAGCCTGGTGAAAGAGATAAATCTGTTCAGATTTCTTAAACACAAATACAAGCTTTAAGGAGAATGTGACTTTTAAGACAAAACAAGTTTGTAAGACAATGCATCGTTTCATGAAATAACGTACAAAAATAAATTATAGGGGGAACATTTTTTTTTTACCAATGTTTGCGTAAAGCCAAATTGCAAGCACAAATACATCAGTAGAAAATGGGTACCGAACTATATACACATTTTAGCTTGTTCTTCATTTTAAAAAATACTCCAGTTGACAAACTAAACGAGACACATTTGCAGAAATGAGAAATGGGGAGAAGCCAAAATGAATAGGTTCACCCATCCCAGGTGTCAATTTGCTAGCCTACCTGCATTTGGCCAAATGGCCTTTACAATCGTGCCAGTCCAAGACTGCTGGACACAGAGGAACAGTGGCGCCCACCCATCCAGGTCAGTCATGCAGTAACCTGAAACAGACCATCTAGTTCAGTGTTGTCCAAACTTGGCCACTTTAAGATGAGTGGACTTCAACCATGTGGGCTGGGGAATTCTGGGAGTTGAAGTCCACTCATCTTAAAGTGGCCAAGTTTGGACAACACTGATCTAGTTGGACGCATGAAGCAGAAAACCCCAAGCATGAACTCTGTGGGGAGAAGCATCGCGGTCCAGCCCTTATCCATAATCCTACTTGAAATGCCTCAGCTGTTTGAAACCTCAAACCATTTGCTTTTGATAGCTGTCTACTCACTGCCCTGTGAAATGTTCCCAGTCCCATTCTTAAAATAGATCTCCTTTCCTTTCAGCTCCTCTCCTATCACTCTCAGCCCCCTGCATGTTTTCTTTATTTTTTTTTTAAAGCCCTCACCCTTCTAGGCTCCTTGGCCCAAGCCCCTCTTTTCCGTTGCTTTTCTACCATGAAGATCAAAATAGCAGCATTTTTAGCTGCGATTCTGGGAGTCCTCGGCGTCTTCCTTTTTCTAGTAGCCTTTGGGACAGATTACTGGCTGCTGGTGACGGAAAAGTGTGGAGGATTTGAAGTGAAGAACAACAGTCACTTCTTGAAAGAGGTAAAGAACCCCCCCGCCAAACCTTGTAACTCCAGGATAAATAGCTTGGGAGTATCATTATTTGAAGAATGCTGTTGGAAACGAGAGGAAAACTTGGAAGTTGAGAATTTAAATCTCAGATAGAAAGCCACTGTATGTACCCTTGAGATAGAATCCAGTCATAAACAGTTGCATTGCAGAGAATGCTATTCTGTTTCTCTAACATGTAGATTTAATTGATTGATCCTGTAAGCTTCGGTGGATTAGTTCATCAATCATTTTATTTAAAAATTAGGAACTTTCCTGCAAAAAACAAGTGCTAAATAGCTGTCTGCCCCCACTCCCACCTCCCAGCCTTTTCTTTGATTTCTTAATGATTTTCCCAGCAAAAGAAGAAGAGAAGGAACATTTAGGTGTAAAATATTTCTGCCCAACACATTTGGGAAGAGGAAACAATTTTATTAGCCCCCAGGCTAATGAATCCTCCCTCCCCGCAAAAGAGAACTAAGCTTGACAGAAAAATGTGCATATATAATTTTACAAGCTGAGATGCAAATTCAGAAGTCGTGATGATCATTTAAATAGAAACAGCAGAAGTGGGAAAACTGTGATTGGGGCATAGCTCAGTTTGCTCCCGAGGGGATAATGGTTGACCAGCAACTCCCAGGCCATTGACTCTTCCTTCTTATAGAACTAAAATGGATGTGTGTGTGGGTGGGGGGGGGGGGACAGTAACCTGATGTCCACAGGCCATCCTTCACCTAATTTCAAAAACTGACTGCAAGTGAACAGTTCAGATCTCTGGTAAAATTCACCTGGAAAGATTATCAGAGAAGGTAGAAGAAAATAAGGTGATATCAAGAAAAAAAAATCTGTCCCTCAAATGGTAACCCTAGGAGAAGGTGCCCCCTCAGAGAACAAAAATGTGGAAAATACATTGCTTCTCTTTCTTGACCTAGAAGCAGGAGTGCTTGGATTGGCTCTGATCTGAACTGAATTGTCATTTGGATCCAAGCTGTTGATCTGATCCCGTTCAGTGATTCGGATTCAATAAAATCAATAGGAATTTCTTATTCGGCCAATTTAATTCAATGGGATTGGGAAGCATCAGATTCAACTTTCTGATTCAGTTCCAAATGTGAGTTGGATTCAGAGATGGGATAGGCTCTTCTTTAAAAAGAAGCTTTGTAGAAGCATGGCATTGGATTGCTGTTCATATGGAGAATAATCCTTTATTAAGTCAGATGTACAACAATGTTACCATCGAGGGATGATTTATTTATTTTTATTTATTTATATATCAAATTTGTCACCACCCAACTCATTGCTGATAATGCTGATCCTGTGTCCTCCAAGGGAGCTGAATGCTTATGAACAAATGGATAATTGCACAGTTATTTTTGAACATGGAAGGATCTCCAGAATAATTGGTCTGACAATGTTTAGGAGGAAATGTATACTATTATTATTATTATTGACATCACCATTAACAATAATATCCTATACCCCACATGTGAAGTAGGAAGCAGGGTTTTTTGCAGCTTTTTAAAATTATTCCCATTTGAGAAAGTTTCCTAAATGGATAAAAAAATCACAGATTTCTTGTGCACTTTCTAAAGTTGGACTCCAGTTCCCATTAGCCCGATCCTGGAGGGCATCAAACAGCCATCTCTTGCCATCTTTATATAGCTGTATTTTATGTCATGGCAGCTTCTTTGGGGCTGCAAATTCCATTTTGTCACCCTCGGCCAGTGAATATTACATTCTGAAATGGCAGGTAGCTTGCATGCTGAGTGGAAAGCTGATGAAATACAATAGTTTCCATCATGTTTCTTAAATGGTTTTGGTTTGCTTTGAAAACAGGATGGGAAGCAAGACTGGAAAGAAGGTGACCAAGAGATCCTGACATTTCACCATGAAGGTTTCTTCTGGAGATGCTGGTTCTTTGGTCAAGATTACAAAGAGACTATATGGAACTTCTGGTTTAGTGAGTACAAGACTACAAGAGAGTTACAGTATATTCTGATCTCTTAATTGGAGCTCTTCTATTTGGGGTTGTAGTCCATCTGTCTAGCTGTCCTGCTCTAGGACCCCAACCTACTATACCTTATGCTTTTCTTCTCAGTAGGTCATCATGGATTTCTCCCCCTGCCCCTCACTTCCCCAACAGACATCCCTGGAATGGGGTAATGGAGGGGCAAGGAATGAAACATCACTATGCAAGTATGAAAGGGTAGAACTTGCATTGCAATGTCACAGTATACATTCCATCATTTTGGCATCATTGTGGTTAGCAGAAGATGCCTATCTCCTCACCTCACTGCTTTTAAAGTTCCTTCTAAAATGCTATTATAGCAGTGATTGTCTTTTCCAACCATTTTCAGCCTCTTTCTATCCCTCCCTATGCACCATCTGGAAGTTGCTGGGGTCATTATGGAATATTTAAGGCACGTTGTTGTTCTAAAAATCAAAACAGATTGTAACTCAAGAAGAGGGCCCAGTTCAGGCATCACTGACCATTCTGTACCCTTACTGAAGGCCATTTGAATGGAACTTGCAGATTTCAAATGATCCACGAGCATCTGAGATTTTCTAATTTATTATAGTTCACATTTTAAATGTGGAAGCACACATAGAGGCCGGACTCTGACGCTTAAAAAAATATTCCAACCTTCTCCAGCCAGATGCTTCCAAATACCTTATAGAATAACTTCCATTACTATTATGATTGGCGTCTGGGGATTATAAGAATTGTAGTCCAATCTACTTGAGAGGGAGACAACAGCACTGCTAATGCCATAAATCTGTTAAACCCAAGATGCCACAATACTTTTAATCCTCCCAAATGAATCAATATGATTTCTTTGGATTAGTTATCAATCCATGCACATTTGCTTGGAAAGTTTACCCCCTTTGGCCTCCAAGAGCTTACTTACAAGTAAATGTGCAAAGCATGGCAGTACAGTCTAAGATTATTCCTTGCCTTGTATTTCTAGAGAGAGTTGATAAAGTGCAGATAATTCGGGATTGCACGTTAATGTAATAATGAAGGCCTTCCAAATCCAATTATTATAATGCATTGTTTAACAGGATATTACCTTAAGTCAAATGATCAAATTAAACATCACTTGAGAGGCATTCCCATGGCCTGAGATAGACGCGATAACTAGGAGATCTTTTATTACTTTTGGTATCTGTGTTAATGAGACCGATCACAGCAAATTCATTTGGCTGAATTCTTTCCCCTCCTTTTTATGCAGTTGCAATAATTAATGCAGTAGAAATTTCATCAGTCACTTTGCATGAACAAATGTCCATTTATTATGAAGTGCTCTCATTCTGCGGGAAACATTCTAAAGTAAAGTGGATAATCATTAATTAATTTGTTTAACATTTATCCTATTACTGTTCATCACGATAAGCTTTGGGGGCATTAATACCGATGGGACTTCTCTAGAATCCTGAAGACCTTCAGTTCATGGGGTGTTATCAGTACCTCTGAAATAGTGGCCATGGTGGTGTGGATGGTGTAACAGTGCCCAGTTGACTTGGGGACAAAATAAGGGAAATTCAATCAGTAATATATTATTATTTAAATCAATGACAGACATGCCCAAAGGAAAGTCTGTTACATCAAGCAAAAGTGTAGAAACTTTTAAAAACTTTTTAAAAGTGTAGAAACTAATGAATCTCCATTTTTTAATGTTGACTTTTTATATTTTTAATTGGTTTTTTCCATATGTATTGCTTTTATTTGATTATTGTACGCTGCCCAGAGTCACTTCTCAAGAGATGGGCGGCTATATAAATTTGATGAATAACTAAATAAAATAAATAAACTGCAATAGAATATTGTAGTGTGAAATACTTCTGTTTAATATTTCAACCAGTGTGCATGGACCTTCTTTTTCTTTTGGGGGTTTTCTGAATATGCTGATAAGCCAGGTTTTTTATGCTGGTTTCATGCTAGCTACATAAAGAGCAGCAATTAGAAAGAGACAATGTGAGTATTTAATAGGGCAGGTGGTACTAAGAACTCAGCTTTCTGCAACATCCTATCTTAAGTTTCCTATTGAAGAGTTACATTTTGCAATCTGTATAAAGTGTTTAATTAAGCACATTTTGGGTCTCTACTTTGCTTCTCTTGGGAAAATTAAGGCGTATGTGATGTTTAATGTTTCACACATGCAAGTAACATCTAAGTCATCAGTTCTGAATGAGGTCTGTAATTGCAAGCTTTCTTGGCAAATGTGCAGAAAGCTTGCATCTGTTCTCTTTTAGCTCATAATATTGTTGTTATTAACATGTGGTCAAACTGCATGTACGCGCTATAGAAAGTTATTCTCTGGAAAGAAGAACTACTTGGAATTCAGTGGCCCTCAAACAGAGCCATAGGCAAGTGTAAGTAAATGGCTAGACCATAATGTGTCTTAATCTGTCTTAGCAAATTGGGTGAATTATGGTTTGTAAACTATGCATTATGGCTAAGGATGTTCTGAAAACTACCCAGTTGCTTATTCAAGAAACCATGCTTAAGCAAACCACAGCTTAACATGGTACATGAACTCAGCTATAACGTGTGAAGACAACTAAAGATGGTCACCTAGCTAATTGCTTCATGAGTAAAGGGTAAACTCTGAAAAACTATTCAAGTTCTACAAAAGGCGAATTTTGCAATTCAACTAATTTTAGAAAAATCCAGAAGAGCTTCAGAAAATATATTGCTTTCAAGAAGTTTGATGCATTTCTCTGCATTTCTCTGCTTCTCTTCAGCAGCTTTTCACATGTAGAATCTTACTAAATCGCACAGGGAACTCCAAGATAGCAAAGGACGGATTTGGAGGAATCTCTCCTGATTCCTAACACAGCTGAGCGTCAGGGGCCACACCATTGTATTCTGAACGATGCAGTTACTTGAGTTAAGATGGTGACATGAGACGCTGAGCCTTGTGACAGCTCCTCTGAGAATAAACTTCAACTCTATTTTGTTATTATTCTGGCCAATTTTGTGTCAAAGCACTGTTAAGACTGTTTCAGTAAGAAGAGAGTTAAGAGGGTTGATTTAATTTGACCTCAGAAGATAATGTTGTCACTGCAATATTAAGGCAGTTACTTGTTCTTGCCTTTAACTTGGTTGTGAGATACCTGAAGGAGGGATGTGAGTGTTGCAATCACCAATTAGAAGAGGCAATCATCTTACAGGCTGCGTTCTCCTTGGCTTCCCCCATTTTTGTTGAGTCCCAAGGGAAGATATTACACAGGATAGCACTCCCACAGGACTTTTACAGATGAGGAAGCAAGGAAGGGCAAGGCAGCTACAGAGTAGTGGAGAGGTAATATTATAACACACATACAGAGGTAGCGTCCATTGTTGGCACCAATAAAATATGCTCAAAACACCATCCAAAGATTTTGAAATTCCCAGGAGCCCAAGCAAAACTGAACCCTTTTTCGCAGTGGAAAAGAATGCCAAGAAACTGGAAGGAAGAAGTGGGCACACTTTTAAAGAAAACAGTTGGGTTGCCTTACATAAGCAAGCCTTGTATTAATGTATCTGCAGGGTTGGAATGAAGATGCTCAGCTATACAGAGAACAGACTAAAAGAAATTTCTCATTTCTTTTCTCCTCCAGCCAGCCAAGCCCATCCTAAGCACTGTATGAATGCCTATCTATTTCCAATGCCTATTGTGCTTGGGCCTCATCCTCACCCCTCCTATGATGCAACTGCAGGTATGTTCTGAGAAAAAGTTGAACTAGTAACATATTCTTCATACCTAGGAATCATCAATGTGCTAAGACAGGGTTCCTCAACCTTGGCAACTTTAAGACGGGTGGACTTCAACTTCCAGAATCCCCCAGCCAGCCTGGAAGTTGAAGTCCACCCATCTTAAAGTTGCCAAGGTTGAGGAACCCTGTGCTAAGATGTGCAGCTGATGGATGGCAATATGCCATAACTCTGCCTTCCTGAGATTCAGAGGGAGAAAGCTGCTTCACCTCTATTATGTGTACCAAAAGCTAGCTGGTTTTGCCTGCAAACTCACATCGTGCCTCTTTGCTTTCAGAAATGGGAGTCCACCACTCACAGGTGAAGGAACGCACACCTTCTGCCAACTTAGCCTCCTACCTCTTTACAAGAGATTGAGGCTTCTGAATGACGCCACATTCCCAGCCTATTTCACCAAACATTTAATCTCAGCTTGACTTTCTTCTGAGTAAAAGTGCATAGGATCATGCTACAAAGTCTCTTTCTGAGTTGGTTTTTAAGGAGGGTTGTGGGTCATTAAGCTAAGAACAGGTATGCAACCCTGTTGTACCCAAGGACATAGGTATGACATATATACAAGCTATGTGTTGAATCTTTTCACCTGCCACACCTTGAAAGGTTTAAGAATGTGGAGAGGGCTGGTCCTGTCGTTAGGCGGAATGAACCAGTGTTTGGGGTGGCCTTGGTCTCCTGACGTACTGACAAAAGGGGATACTGAGCCTCCAACATGCAGTTCTAGAACAGGATGCTATCTTGGTTACCTGCTTTTAGATGATGTATCCATTCAAAATGGTACTTGCACGACAGCTGAGTGGCTGGCCTGATCATGGTTGGGTCCAAAGGTACAAGGGAGGACTTCATTCTTTCCTGTTCTTCTCTAGTCCTAAGAAAATTCTACTCCCAATTCTAAAGCTGCTATTTGCTATGAGGTGTTAATAGTCATCCCTTCAGCTACAATTTATCTTCTAAAAAAAAAAGGAAGAGAAAAGTTTGGGAAGCCATGTGAGATCTTAATGTGAAGGAAAGAAAGGCTGAAGGACCACAGTCATGAATATGATGGCCTTTTGCAGCTTTTGATTTCCTTAAAAATATCCAGATAAATTCAATATGATCATGCATTTCATAAACTGCAATTTGACCCTTTGTAAACATCAAGAAGATTGATCTGCCCAGCACTTAAAGCACCATGTCTACCGCACTATAAATCCTGAACTATCTGGCGTAACTGTGAATGCTAAAAGGTGCAAATGTGTGAGGCTCCCTATACATTGGAGATTTACATCCAATAAAATCCAGTCCCAAATTATTTATGATAAAGCTAGGTGCATGTCAGCCTGCTCCTCTCTTTTCCTTTTCAAATGTTGTGGGTGAAAACTAGGTTTCCTTGCACTGATTTTTTTCACGTACTCCGATTCTGTGCCTTGACTCAGCCTTTCACTCAGCTTTTGGTGTGTCTTTTCTCTCCGTGCATAGTGTACAGGGGCTTCTGGACAGCACTGATTGTACTGGCTATCACTGCCAGCCTTGTAGGAGTGTTTTTGCTGGTGTGCGGTGTGCCCTTTGTCAACGCAAGATTCTATAAAGTTGGAGGCGGATTCCTTATTGCTGCTGGTAAGTGGTCAATTCAGTGTTCGCCATTTTAGTTGCCTGGAATGCTAAAGTCATGGGTGTAACGGAATGCAAATGTGCAGAAGAAAATGGAAGAGACTTGAAACATAATGTGCATTTAATAACAGAAGCAGTTGCATGTTTTTATTAACTTTCCCCAACTCACTGTTCTTCAGAAGTGCTGGAATTAAAAGTCCTAGAATCCTAGACCAGTTCTTGTGGATTTTGGGACTTGTAGACCTCATGCATTTGGAGGGCTCTGGGTTGCAGGAAGCAGGTTTAGTTACCTAATGCTTGTTTGCTACTTGAAGGGAATGTACTAGCTGGAGAAATTCTTCTAGCCTGGAAAGACATGGGCAACACTGTTTGGCTTAAAAAAAAGTTGCAGTCCTTTTGGAGGGCACCATGTTGATCTTTGTGTTAGAACATTACTGGAGAACAGTGGTACATCACATTATGCGTAATGTGTTGGATGGAATATCTATCTATCTATCTATCTATCTATCTATCTATCTATCTATCTATCTATCTATCTATCTTTATATAGCTGCCCATCTCACACAAGGTGACTCTGGGTCATCTCACACAAGGTGACTTTACTTTGGTCTTCCTTTATCAGTGTTCCTTATAGTAGAGTTGGAATTGGAATAATTTGATTTCTTTGAAAGCATGATTTTCTGAATCAGTCTGATGATTCAGATTGACCTTTCAAGTAAAAAAATTTAAATGGAGTTATTGTTCTGCATTGGTATCATAAACATCTTCCAATTATGTAAATAGATTCTTTACCTAGAAACATCTTTAAAAAATATGCACAGGCTGGGAAGAGACCTTGCACCCAGGGCCCAATTACCATTTTAAAAGTATCCATTTGAATGCCAGCAAATGACTTAAATGTACAGTTGCTGAGTGATGGGAATACACATTGGCACTAATCTTTTAGCACCTTCCAGGAAATTTGAAATCTGGATTAATTAGTAGCCTTACTTTGGCCCAGAATGAGGAACTGTGGGTGACCGTTTAGTTTATGACAAGCAATATTTAAATATGGGTAAAGTACAGTATCAGTATTATGAACTTTTTGTGCACAGCCCAGAATCTCTGAATTGAGGCAGAAGAGGAATACTGTAAAAAAAAAAAATAAGATAAAATAAAATAAAATAAAATAAAATAAAATAAATAAATAAATGCAACAAGATAACATTTAGAACATTGACTAAAAAGCTCCATATTTTAGTCCTATAGTATTTACTGTAGATTTGCTAATTATTTTGTCTGTCTTTATATTCTTATTCGGTACAGTAGTCACAATGGGAGAGCCTTATTTGTCATCTGCTATGGATGGCAGATCAGCCGTAATTAACTTTTGTACCCCAGTAATTGTTCCTCTGGGAAAGGTGAAAGTGCTTATAATTCATCAAGAGGGAAATTTGTCTGAAGAGTAAGTTCTGAGACAGGAAAGCAGGACAGTGCCCTCTGAAGTCCTGAAGTAAAGCTTTCTGCACTGAAATAATATTCTGGAATGCTTTCCCATAATTTGGTGGCCTCATTATCAGATTGGGGGGGGGGAGAGATTTTTAAGCCTTTGGGGTAAAAACCAGATGTACAAGGCAAAGTTCATGCAAATGTATAAAATAATAAAAGCTGCTAGTCTTTAAGCAGTCTGGAGCTTCAACCTCATTAGTGCTGTTCCCAATCTCAACTAGCAAATGGCCCTTTTTTCTTTGTTACCTAGATGACCCTGTTCCAGTGATGGTCTTTGATCCACCTGGGCTAGGTTTTCCCAAGATGCTTTGTTTCAGTTGGGTAAATTGTGGATCACCCCATTGAGGAAACCTACATTGTCCTGGCAAGTTGTATGAACTAGGCCATCACATTGGTATCATACTTTAAGTGAATGCAACATTTGGGTCTGGTTAAACTGAGTTTGGAGTTTTAGCATGTGTCCTCTACAGGTCTTCTAAGTTTATTTGTTTTTTTAAGTCTCTGAATCAGAGAACTGGCGATGCCCATGATGTTAGTTAAAAAGAAGAAGAGGAGAGAAAGGAATCGGAAGGCGTGAAAAGCCAGCCTTTATAATAGTCCCATTGACTTTTTTAGGAAATAAGAATGGGGTTAGCTCAGTTTTTTTGGTTTTTGGTTTTAAACTCTCTCTACCCCCAGAGAAAGAAGTTCATTGGGGTCATAGAGAGTATGCTGAGGGGCTAGAAGGAATAGCAGAAAGCAGATTTGTCAGCTTGCTTTTGGCTGAAGGAGGGGGCTCTCTTTGGAATGAAAATGCCCACCCAACCCAGTGTGAGATTTGCCCCGTTCGACAGAGAAACTCTCGTGACACGTGTGGTTTGGTTGCGAGCTTCCCTGCAGCCCCGTGCTTCCCTGAAACCTCGTGCTGACCGAACCTGACATGCCGCCCCCCTGACGACAACTCCCCCCCCTCGGTCCTGTTTCGGCTTCCCGGGGTATTTGCTGTAAAAGTCCCGCACTAGGTCTGGCGCCCTTATGTGGGTTTTACTCACCCATTCGCTGTGGGTCTTGGGGAAATGTTTCCATTGCACTAGGAGCTGGGTCTGCCCCTTGTGCCTCCGGGCGTCCAGTATCCGGTTGATTTCGAAATGCTGCCCC